CAAAACTCTAAAGGAAATGGACAATTTTCTGGATAGATATCACTTGCCAAAATTAAATCAAGAACAGATAAGCAAGTTAAATAGAACTATAACCCCTAATGAAATAGAAGTAGTCATCAAAAATCTACCAACCAAAAAAAAGCCCAGGGCCAGATGGTTTCAGGGCAGAATTCTACCAGAAATTCAAAGGAGAACTAATACCAGTACTCCTCAAATTGTTCCATACAATAGCAGCAGAAGGGACATTGCCATACTCTTTCTATGAGGCTACAATTACCTTGGTACCCAAGCCACACAAAGACACAGCGAAAAAAGAGAATTACAGACCAATATCCCTCATGAACATAAATGCAAAAATATTCAACAAAGTACTGGCAAATCGAATTCAAAAACACATCAGAGAAATCATCCACCGTGATCAAGTTGGCTTTATCCCGGGAATGCAGGGATGGCTCAACACAGAAAATCTATCAATGTAATCCATCATATAAAGGAACTGAAAAAGAAAAACCACATGATCATCTCACTGGATGCTGAAAAAGCCTTTGACAAAATCCAACATCCCTTCATGATAAAGGTCTTGGAGAGATCAGGAATAACAGGAACATACCTAAACACAATAAAAGCAATACACAGTAAACTAACAGCCAACATCAAACTAAATGGAGAGAAACTCAGGGCAATTCCTCTAAAATCAGGAACAAGACAAGGCTGTCCACTCTCTCCATATCTCTTCAATATTGTACTTGAAGTTCTAGCTAGAGCAATAAGACAACAAAAGGAGATCAAGGGGATACAAATTGGAAAGGAAGAAGTCAAACTTTCACTATTTGCAAATGATATGATAGTTTACATAAATGACCAAAAAAACTCTACCAGGGAACTCCTACAGCTCATAAACACCTTCAGCAAAGTGGCAGGATACAAGATTAACTCGAAAAAATCAGTAGCCCTACTATATACAGAAGATAAATGCGCTGAAAAAGAAATCAGAGAAACATCACCCTTCACAATAGCAACTAACAACATAAAATATCTTAGGGTAACACTAACCAAAAAAAAAAAAAAGAGAGAGAGAAAGACCTGTATAGTAAGAACATTGAGTCTTTAAAGAAAGAAATTAAAGAATATACCAGAAAATGGAAAGATCTCCCATGCTCTTGAATAGGTAGAATCAACATAGTAAAAATGACAATCTTGCCAAAAGCAATCTACAGATTCAATGCAATTCCCATCAAAATCCCAACACAATTCTTCACAGACCTTAAAAGAACAGTACTCAACTTCATATGGAAAAACAAAAAACCCAGGATAGCCAAAACAACCTTGTACAATAAAGACACTTCTGGAGGCATCACCATCCCTGACTTCAAGCCATAGTCCTGAAAACAGCTTGGTATTGGCACAAAAATAGACAGGTTGACCAATGGAATCGAATTGAAAACCCTGATATTAACCCACGCACCTATAACCCCTGATTTTTGACAAAGAAGCTAAATTTATACAATGGAAAAAAGAAAGCATCTTCAACAAATAATGCTGGCATAACTGGATTTGTACATGTAGAAGATTGCAGATTGATCCATATCTACCACCATGCATTAAACTTAAGTCCAAATGGATCAAAGACCCCAACATAAATTCAGCCACACTGAAACTCCTAGAAGAGAAGGTAGATGGCACCCTTGAACAAATTGGTACAGGAGACCACTTTCTGAACATAACTCCAGTAGTTCAAACATTGAGATCGACAATTAATAAATGGGACCTCCTGAAACTGAGAAGCTTCTGTAAAGCAAATGACACAGTCAGCAAGACAAAACACCAGCCCACAGAATGGGAAAAGATCTTCACCAACCCCACATCTGACAGAGGGCTGATCACCAAAATATACAATGAACTCAAAAAGCTAGCCACCAAAACACCAAACAATGCCGTTAAAAGATGGAGTGCAGAACTAAATAGAGAATTCTCAACAGAGGAATCCAAAATGGCTGAAAAACACTTGAGAAAGTGCCCAACATCCTTAGCCATCAGGGAAATGCAACTCTGAGATACCATCTTACTCCTGTCAGAATGGCTAAAATCAGTAACACCAATGACAATCTATGCTGGAGAGGATGTGGAAAAAGAGGAACTCTCCTCCATTGCTGGTGGGAGTGCAAACTTGTACAACCACTTTGGAAAGCAATATGGCGGTTTCTCAGGAAAATGGGAATCAGTCTACCTCAAGATCCAGCAATCCCTCTCTTGGGCATATACCCAAAGAATGCACACTCATACAATAAGGACATATGTTCAACTATGTTCATAGCAGCATTATTTGTAATAGCCAGAACCTAGAAACAACCCAGATGCCCGTCAACTGAAGAATGGATAGAGAAAATGTGGTATATTTACACAATGGAGTACTACTCAGCAAAAAAAAAAAAAAAAAAAAAAAAAAAAAAAAAAAAAAAAAACAATGGAATCTGAAAATTCACAGGCAAATGGATGGAACTAGAAGAAACCATCCTCAGTGAGGTAACCCAATCCCAAAAAGATAAACATGGTATGTACTCACTCATTTTTGATTTTTAAACATAGAGCAAAGGATCACTAGCCTACAATTCACACTGCCAGAGGAGCTACGAAACAAGAAGGACCCCAAGAGAAGATTGCATAGTCCCTCGAGGAAGGGGATGGGGACAAGAACCCCTTACCAAATTGGAGCCCTGGAGCAGAGAGAGGAAGGAGAGTCTTTATCCAGTTGCTCTTCGAAGCAGAAACAGACACCCACAGCTAAGCACTGAACCATACTACTGGAATTCAGTTGTGGAGAGGGAGGAGCGATT